TGTAGTCCCAGCTACTCGGGAGGCTGAGGCAGGAGAATGGCGGGAACCCGGGAGGCAGAGCCTGCAGTGAGCTGAGTTTGCGCCACTGCACTCCAGCCCGGGAAACAGAACGACACTCCGTCTTAGAAAAAAAAAATTTTTTTAAACTTACAGGTGAACCTAGGGTGCTGCCAGGGTTAAGAACTGATTCTAGGCCAGGCACAGTGGCTCACACCTGTAACACCTGTAATCCCAGCACTTCGGGAGGGCAAGGCAGATGGTCAGGAGTTCCAGACCAGCCTGACCAATATAGTGAAACCCCGTCTCTACTACAAATACAAAAATTAGCCAGGCGTGGTGGCAGGCGTCTGTAATCCCAGCTACTTAGGAGACTGAGGCAGGAGAATTGCTTGAACCTGGGAGGCGGAGGTTGCAGTGAGCCAAGATGGTGCCACTGCACTCCAGCCTAGGCAACAGAGCGAGATTCCGTCTCAAAAAAATAACGAACTGATTCTACCAGTCAACCACTGGCCCCTCGAGGTCTTGCTTCCCTTGGCCCCCATAGCTTGGCTCCTCTGCTCTGCCCTCATCCTCCTTCCCTTCCGCCCTTGCCTGTCATCTCCATATTTTGAATCCCTCAGCCCCTCAGCATCCCTGTCATCTTGGGGCCTCTCCCTGGATGCCCTGGGCCTATTACCTCCTTGGAAGCAAATCTCGATTCCCCAGACCCATCTATCTCTCTATCTCCCTGATAAGTTCCAGACTGGAATTTCCACCGCTGACAGGACAGGCAGATCCACCTGCTCCACCCATACCAAGAACATACCCGCGCTGACTGTGCTCAGCACGTCTTCCCTTGAGCCAGCTGCTCCTCTCAGGCCAGGAACTCAGCATCATCATCACTCACCAAGTTCTGTATGCTCTTCCCTTTTGGGCTCACTGCCACCCTCCTCGGGCATGGCACCCCTCCCAGAACCCAGTCCCCCACCACTAATGAAAGCTTTAGGCCATGCCAGCAAATAGACACCTTCAAGACCAAGATGAACTGGTATAGAAGACAAGGGGATGTGGAGATGGGAGCAAACCAGAGAAAGCACACAGGAGAACACATGCCGTCTTGGGGAAGTTACATTCACTCAGCTTCAGCCAATTGTTGCTATGCGGAAACATGGACCTAAATCTCACAATTTCCCAAGCCATGCTAGAAATCTAGGTTTTAGTATGAAATCTCTTTGTTAAATTTAGGAGACTTAATTGTAAAACATTTTCAAAAAACTATCAGTGAGCTGCCAGTTTTCAATCTCTGCTTCTGAATAGCCATTGGAAGACGTCTGTCACTTTTTCTTTTTTTTTTGAGACGGAGTTTCGCTGTTGTTGCCCAGGTTGGAGTGCAATGGTGCAATCTCAGCTCACCGCAACCTCCGCCTCCCAGGTTCGAGCGATTCTCCTGCCTCAGTCTCCCAAATAGCTAGGATTACAGGCATGCGCCACCATATCCAGCTAACTTTGTATTTTTAGTAGAGATGGGGTTTCTCCATGTTGGTCAGGCTGGTCTCAAACTCCGGAACTCAGGTGATCCGCCCTCCTCGGCCTCCCAAAGTGCTGGGATTTCCAGAACTCAGGTGATCCGCCCCACTGGGCCTTCCAAAGTGCTGGGATTGCAGGCGTGAGCCACCATGCCCAGCCTCCTCTGTCACTTTTATGGCCATCCTCTGCTCAAAGGAAAGAGCTGACATCTCCCTGCCCAGTCTCAAGGCCCCAGTCCACACTGTCTACAACTATCTACAGCTATCTTCATACCTAATGCCAAAAGAGGCTCCCCACACTAGTTAACCCTTGGAGTGATTCACTCTAAATTTGGCCGTAGAACACTAGAGACAAAGAAAAACAAACACAACCCAGAAATAAGTTTCAGGCTCATCCCTCCCTTTCCCACCCAAGTCACCACCACTGCAGGAAACTTCCACTCCTTTCCCCTACCCCTCTCACCAGTTCCACACACCAGCCCACAGTCCAGGCCCGCTGGAGACTATCAGCATCCTGTTTCCTTGGCTCCACCAGCTCCCGGAACGCTACTACCACTGTCAAACCCCGGTGATACTTGCCTCCGATGGCATTGTACTCCAGGACCTGGAGGGCAAGGGAAGAGGGACAGGGTATCAGGGTACATACAGAAGCTACTGTGAGTTTTCTCCTTGCTCTCTCCCATTTCCAACCACCCCCTAACTTTATCCTCCCCAACTCCTCTTCAAGGAGCCTCTGGAATTGCTACTGTCTTTACTCCTTTTCCAAATTTCTGGAGCAAAGCTAGAAGAGGTCCCAGTGCCCAGGTACGTTCTTTCTGCATGGTCTATCCTAGTAAATGTATTTATTTATTTTTTTTTATTTTTATTTTTTTTGAGATGAAGTCTTACTCTGTTGCCTAGGCTGGAGTGCACTGGCACGATCTTGGCTCACTGCAACCTCCGTCTCCCGGGTTCATGCAATTCTCCTGCCTCAGCCTCTCGAGTAGCTGGGATTACAGGTGCCCACCACCATGCCCATCTAGTTTTTGTATTTTTAGTAGAGACAGGGTTTCACCATGTTGGCCAGGCTTTTTTCGAACTACTGACCTCAAGTCATCTACCCGCCTCAGCCTCCCAATAAATTTAAAACCTCCATAGTGCAGATTAAATGCTGCTCCCAAGCCCAAACAGGGCTTGAACCCATGGAAAACTCAGTACACGCTATAGGGATGACTGGCTTGTTCAGTTCCCTCCCCAGGTTCCTTCCCCATCCCCACCTCTCCTAGACTTCCCCTTCCCAACCCATCCCTATTTTTCCAACCACCTCTGCCTACCCAGAGTTCAACCCTCCT